GCCCATTCCCAATTGCCTCCCCTCCTGACCTGCTTGCCCCCACCTCCTCTCCCCATTGGCCTGCTTATTCCCAACTGCCTCCCTGCTGGCCTGCTCACTCCAAACTGCCCCCCACCCCTGCTCTCCTGATCACCTCCAACTGACCCCCACGGATGGCCTGCTCGCCCCCTACTGGCCCCCTTACTGGCCTGCTTACCCCCAACGGCCCCACCCCCCACCAGCCTGATCACCTACAACTGCTGTCCCATCCTGACCGGATCATCCACATCTGCCCTCCCCACTTGGCCTCTAACCGCCTCTACCTTGGCCCTGCCACCATACTTTTTCCAGAAGAACATCTAGAAGGTCTCCTGGAAGGTCTCCCAGTCTAATTAGCATATTACCCTTTTATTAGTATAGATATGAGTGAAATCATAGTTTTTTTTTCTGTCTGAGTTATTTCATTTCACATAATGTTCTCAAGGTCCAACCATGTTGTTGCAAATAGCACTATTTCATCCTTTCTTATGGCTGAATAGTACCACATCTTCTTTATCCATTCCTCTATCATGGGACTCTTTGGTTGTTTCCATGTCTTGACCACTGTGAATAATGCTGCAATGAACATAGGGGTGCATATATCTTTGAGAATACATGATTTTGAGTTTTTTGGTATATACCCAGGACTGGGGTTGCTGGGTCATATGGTAGCTCCATTCTTAATATTTTGAGGAATTAGAGAACATTTTATGGACTTGACCCCAAAGGCAAGGGAGGTAAAGGCAAAAATAAATGAATGGGACTATATCAAACTAAAAAGCTTTTGCACAGCAAAAGAAACTGACAACAAAAAGAGACAGCCAACCAGATGGGAGATATTTGCAAACAGTAGCTATAATATTTTATTTCCAAAATATATAAAGAACTTGTAAAACTCAACACCAAACAATAAAAAACAATAAAAAGTGGGCAGAGAACTTGAAAATACATCTCCCCCACGGAGATATACAAATAGATAGATATATGAAAAGATGTTCAACCTCACTGGCAATTAGGGAAATGCAAATCAAAACTATAGTGAGATACCACTGTTAGAGTGGCCATTATCAACAGTATATGCAGTAACAAGTGTTAGAGAGTTTGTGGAAAAAAGGGAACCCTCATTCACTAGGGGTGGGAATGTAGACTAGCAGTGATTTCTTAAATGGCATCAAAAGCACAGCTTATAAGAGAAAAAATAAGTCGGACTTAATCAAATTAAAAACTTTACCTCAAAGAATACTATTAAGATATTTTTATCTATTGATGGCTAATTTTCCTTTAATTTTCTTAACTATTAGAAATTTTCAAAGTAGAACATTTATTCTAGATTTAATCATAAATAAGAAGAAATTAAACATGCTGAAATTATTTTGACAATGTGCAAATTGAATTTTAAAAATGTATCTGAGAAAATTCATAGTCATTTATATCTCAAATCTGCAGTTAAGATTTCTAAAAACCATTGCAGTATATAATATGGAAGGTATATGTTTGGTTTATAATTTCACCTAAGATTGAGGACTCAAATAATAGATTCACTTCTCTGATTTGTATTGATGATAGTGATGACTGGATCACTGAATGAGAAGGAAGTAACATGTTTGATGTGATTCCCATTAATAAAAGTGAAACAAAACAAAAAGGAAACAAGAGAGTGAAAAGAAAACTCACAAGATGGCAGAAAATATTTGCAAAACCATGTATTAGATAAATAATGTCCAGAATATATAAAGAACTCCTAGAACTACAAAACCCTCAAACAACCCAATTCATAAATGCACAAAGGACTTGAATAATATACAAATAGTCTATAAAGCATATGAAAAATTCTCAACATCATTAGTGTTTGGGGAAATGCAAATCAAAATCATAATGAGATAATCAATTTATATCCACTAGGATAGCTATAACTTAAAAAATTGGAAATAACAACTGGTGGTAAGGATGTGGAAAAATTGGAACTTTTATATATTGGTTGTGGGGATATAAAATAATGAGGCTACTGGAGAAAACAGTTTGGCAGTTACTCAAAAATTAAACATAGAATTATCATATAACCCAGCAATTCTTAGTAAACACCCAAAAGAATTGAAAACAGATCCTTGTAAAGCACGTTTATGTTGGCATTACAAACAGGAGCAAGAAGGTGGAAGCAACCAGAGTGTTTAGAAAAAGTAGTGATGACTATATAGCTTTGTGAAATGTACTTAATTCCATTGAATTGTGCACTGAAGAAAATTTTAAATGATGCATTTCATGTTATGTATCTTTTACCACAATTACAAAAAAGGGGCAAGTTCTTAAAAATGATAGTGCACAGGACTCATGAAAATAAGCCTAGAAGGAGTTGGTAGGAAGAAAAGGGAATGTTTGAGGGATTAAAGATCGCAGGGTGTTTGAAGGGAAGATATTTAGGGAGTAAGATTGATAGAACTGAAACACAGTGATGTGCCACATAATGATGTTCAGTCAGCAACAGACTGGTATACAGTGGTGGTTTCCTAAGATTATAATGGAGCTGAAAAATTTTCATTGTTTAATGAGGTGGCAGCTTTCGTAACATCTTAGCAGAACACATCCCTCATGTGTTTGTGGTGATACTGGTAGAAACAAACCTTCTACATCACAGTCCGGTAAAAGTATAACACATACAATTATGTACAGTATGTAATATTGATGATGATAATAAATGACTTTTTCTGTGTTGTATACTTACTGTATTATACATTTTATCATATTTTGAGTGCGCTTCTTCTACTTGTAAAAAAAGTTGGTTCTAACAAAATGTGCTGTGTTAGCCTGCATCAACCCCATACATCTCCTGTTTACCACATCTCTTAGTTGCATCATTTTCTCTTGTGCTTTATTTAATCTTGTGTTGTTTTGTACAATTTTGTATATTATGCTTATAGTATATAAGCTTGTTTTTTGTAGTACAGGCTTATAGTCGAAGAGCAGTAGGTGATACCTAGGTGTGTAGCAGGCTATAATATCTAAGTTTGCCTAAGTGCACTTGATGTTTGCCAATGGTGAAATCACCTAATGAAGCCTTTTTCAGAATGAATCCCCATTGTTAAGCAACCATGACTGTAACAGTGAGATGTGTTGCCTGAAGTTTTGGAATGTTTGAATTTCGGTGGTCGAATGTTTCCAGTTAATACAATTGAGGATGTGACCATGGCTGTGGACTGCTAAATACGAGTAGGAAATGACAGCCTTGAGAATTGAACATGAATAAATTTACACAGGAGAGAGGGTAGAAAGCAAACCTGAGTTGGATGTTGAAGATGAGTAAATGTCAGTGGTTGATTTGCAGGGGTCTCAAAGGAAAAATTATTTACTTCAACTCTATTTCTTTGTTGTGTACTTTTATGATAGTACCGTGTTTCCCCGAAAATAAGACATCCTCCGAAAATAAGACCTAGCGCAACTTTGGGGAAAAATATTAATATAAGACACTGACTTATTTTCGGGGAAACAGGGTATTGACCCAGAGTTTGTTGAATTTCTTTTTATTAGTCAAATTTTGGTAAGCCTGGTAGGTTGCCAGTGGCTAAGTCAGTCCTAAAGTTGAGAGGTGTAGAAATGGGCTCAGGCACTATTTCAGCTCTTCTGAAGGCACAGAAATGTTAATCTGTGTACATCAAGGTAAGTACAACAAAGGGGGAAAGCACTGGCCTCTTTATCTTGCTTTTAAAGTGTGTAAATGTAGGGGGAGTGTGGGTGAGGAGGAGGTAATCAACCAAAGACCTTGTATGCATATATGCATAACCTATGGACACAAGACTATAGGGTAGTGAAAGCCTGGGGCTGGGGTGGGAGTGGACTGGAGGGGATCAATGGGGTGATGGGTAGGGAGAGGGGACATATGTAATAGTTTCAACAATAAAGAATTATTTAAAAAATAAATTAATAAAAAAATGTATAAGCAAGTTGTTAAAGGTCTTTTCATTATAGTAGTTTTATTTTATTTTTTAGAAATATACATGTTGTAGTGCTTCAAAAATACCTTTTGGATAGAATCTGATTAAAATTTTATATTCTGAATCATATAATTATTGTTACAAAGTGTTTTTAATTTTTAAGTCAAAGAGAGGAAACCATTTGGAAAGCCCATCTAATTAAATCCTACTTTGAAAGTAGTTTGGCCTCTAATTTTGTCATGGATTGTGAGAGGGCAGTTCTCGGGTGACACCCCCCAGAATTAAGCCCCCTCCTCTCGGGTTCTGGCTGTATCACCAAGAACTGCAACTGCCAAGTCACTGCAGCTCTGCAGCGCCTGCATTCAGCATCTGCCCCCTGGTGGTCATTGTGTGTCATAGCTACTGGTCAGATGGTCGCTTAGGCTTTTTATATGTAGACTTGAGGCCTGGTGCACAAATTTGTGTCTCTCTCCAATCTGGGACACCTCAAGGAATGTCCGACTGCCCTCTCACAATCCAGGACTGCTGGTTCCCAACTGCTTGCCTACTTGCCTTTCTGATTGCCCCTAACTGCTTCTGCCTGCCAGCCTGATCACCCCCTAACTGCTCCCCTGACAGCCAGATTGATGCCTACCTGCTCCCATACCAGCCTGATTGCCCCTAACTGCCCTTCCCTGCAGGCCTGTTCCTCTCCCCTGCAGGCCTGCATTCTCCCCAACTGCCCTTGTCTGCAGGCACAGTTGCTCCCAACTTCCCTTCTCTGCCAGCCTAGTCACCCCTAAATGGCCTCACCTGCAGGCTTGATCGGCCCCAACTGTCCTCCGTTGCAGGCCTGGTCCCTCCCAACTGCCTTCCCCTGCTGGCCTGATCACCCCCAACTGCCCTCCTTTGCAGGCCTGGTCCCTCCCAACAGCCCTCCCCTGCTGGCCATTTTGTGTCCACATGGGGGCAGCCATCTTGTGTGTTGGAGTGATGGTCAATCTGCATATTACTCTTTTATTAGATAGGATAGTTTATGATTTATATTGACTTTCAACATGTTTCCATTTTTCTTAGGAAAACGGGAAATCATTTTCACAACTTCATTAGTTGGCAAGATTTGAGAGCTATTGAACTTGTAAAATCTTGGAATAGTTCTCTTATAATGAAGGTAATATTTTTCTTCTCTGTAATTTGGATATTACTGGGTTTCCCTGTAAATACCCCTTAACTGTAGACTTAATAGTATAATATCATACCTGTGTTGTTTTTGGACATTAATATGAGAATACACACATGCACACTTTCAAACCAGTAAAATTTAATAATAGTTATTCAGAAGCGTATGTGGCAGATTGAAGTGACTAACAACTACACTTCAAGAAGTCTTGAGGAGGTTTGAGGTGGACTAAGGATTCACATGCTACTGAGAATTCATGTTTTCATTCCTGGAGAAATGGAAAAAATACAATCTATGCCCAGAAAAGATACAGCAATGACCAAATTTCATCATCTTTTGTTTTAAAAGTGGAGAATATACATTGAGTGGCCTGATTATTATGATCGTTGAACACATAATAATATGGCCACTCAGTGTGTGTGTGTGTGTGTGTGTGTGTGTGTGTGTGTGTGTGTGTGGCCTGGTGCATGAATTTGTGCATGGGTGGGATTTGGCCAGCCTGGCCATGGGGAGGGGATGGGCAGTTGGCCAGCCTGCCTGCTGGTCGAGGGGACAATTTGCATATTGCCTTTTATTAAATAGGATACATTCTGAGTGGCCAGATTATTTTGAGTTCAGAGATCATAATAATCTGTTCACTCAGTGTATATTGAGATAGTAGACTAGCTGACTGCCATATGCTCTTAATATAATACCTGGCACATAGTAAGCAAGTGATGATGATAGACATAGTAGCATCTATACCATCTCACTCCTGGTGTGGAACTGAGTCAGGTGAAAGACAATTTTCCAGCTCATCAACTATGGTGAAACCCACAGTATTTGGTGTTATAATCAATATTGCATATTGATTATTTCAATACTGCTAATACCGCAAAGTTAGATATCTTCTCAGCTAGGATGCTCACACCAGACAGTGCAGGGGGTAATGTCAGGAGCACTAGTTTTACTTAAGTATTTGGGGATATTAATTTTATATAAAAACAAACATGATATAGAATGCAATGCATGAGTGAGACACTTGTGATAATCTCACACACATTGATATTTCCTTTTGTTCGTTTAACATATAAAAATGCACCTTACTGTAATAACTTGTGAGGCTGAATACAGAGAGGTGCTATTTACAGAAAAGACAGTAATTAAGGGTGTTGAAAGTGGTTATAAGAAGTCATGGATTCTAAATGGTACAATTTTAAATTATACTATTTATGTGTAATTTTATACCTTAATGCAGTGGTCACCAACCGGTGTTCTGAAGTAGCAGGTCTTTGGCTCTCTTGACATCCCAGAGGGGTCCTGAATTGCGTGAGGGCAGTTCTCGGATGCATCACCCAAGAACTGCAACTGCCAAGTCACTGCAGAGTCCAGGAGGTGGTCTGTGAGGTCCGAACAGTTGGTGACCACTGGTTTAAGAAAACATTTGGAGCAGTGACCACCAACCGGTGATCCATGAGGTCCACGACCGCTACCTTATTGTATCGGTTTAGTTTTTAATAGGTCAATCTATCCAACATTTCTGCATCATGATTAGTTTCTTAAGTCAGCTAAGGGTAGCACTTCCGGTACTACACTGAACAGGAGTGGTGAGAGTAGGCATCCCTATCTTGTTCCTGTTCTTAGGGGAAGTGGTTTTAGTTTTTGCCCATTGATTATGATGTTGGTTGTAGGTTTGTCATATAAGGCTTTTATTATGTTGAAGTATGATTCCTCTATTCCCACTTTGCTGAGTTTTTTTTTGTTTATAGCAAGAAAGGGTGTTGAATTTTGTCAAATGCTTTTTCTCCATCAATTGATATGATATGACTGATTTTTATCTCTCAATTTGGCAGATATTGTAGCACCTTTGTATCCCTGGAATAAATCCCAATTGGTCACGGTGTAATGTAATGCTGGGTCCAATTTGCTAGGATTTTGTTGAGGATTTTAGCATCTACCGTGTTTCCCCGACATCTTCCAAAAATAAGACCTACTTACAGGTTTCCTTCTGAGTGAAATATAAGGCATCCCCCAAAAATAAGGCCTTCCCCTAGGCTAAACATGAGAGATTTGGTCCACCGATTTTGAAAGAAGTGGAGTCACAAGAAATTCACCAGGAAATTCAGGAATTGGATTGTTATGATGATGTTCCAGAAGATGATGACATGATTGTCATTGAATAAATGAGTAAATTCTTGATACTGTAGGATTCACAGTTTGTCTGGTTTGTGTTGACAACTACCGTACTACTGTACCGTATACAGGTAATATAATAAATTTCCTTTATTTTCATTTAACAATAGATGTGTACTGTATTCTTCATGGAAAAATAAGACATCCTCTGAAAATAAGACCTAGCGCATCTCTGGGAGCAAAAATTAATATAAGACACTGTCTTATTTTTGGGGAAACGGTATA